GGACGATATTTCTGCAGCCGAGATCAAATTTGATGTTGCATACAATTGTTATTTAAATGTTTTAGCGTCCATCAACAGAAAACTAGGTGAACTTCGGTCTCCTTCTAAATCATCTGTCACAACTTCCGTTGAATCTCATATAGATAATCAATCAATACTTCGTTCCAAGGATGCGAACGTGGGCTCGAATGTTTCGCATCGACCCAATAATTCAACCTTCACAATCTGTGAAGATGACAATTCCGGCCATAGGATTAATTTGCCACCATGTGACATAGAGGTATTCAATGGCGATTTTCTCTCCTGGCCAACTTTTAGAGACCTATTCTCTGCCGTTTATATTAACAACACCGGCATAAGTGATATTGAACGTTTGTGTCACTTAATAAAAAGGCCAGTGGTGATGCTCATGAGATTGTGGCTAGGTTTTCTCTTACCCACAAAAACTTTAGTCTTGCGTGGAATGCTCTAATGCATACCTACGATAATCCACGTATTTTGGTGAACCACCAGCTCAAACTTCTCTTTGACCTTCCAGTTTTAGATAAGGAAACTAGTGCAGGGTTAAAGAAATTACAAAGAGGCATAAACGGGTGTATTTCGTCTATATCTAATTACGACGTGTCGGCTGAAAATTGGGATCCTATACTAGTTTTCTTATGTCTTCAGAGATTACCAAAAACATCCGTTGTGCTTTGGGAACAAAGTATAACAAACAAAGCTGCTTTGTCTTCGTGGTCGGATTTGGATAGGTTTCTTACGGAAAGAATCCAAACTCTGGCCTTTTTGCGTGATATCAGGGGCGCGCGTCGAACCTCTAAATAATAAAAATACCCATTCTTCGAATGTTAGCACTCAAAAGACTTTTATCACGCCCCAAAGAACGCCTCGTTCTTCAAGGTATTCTAACGCACCTTTGCCTAAATCATGTGCTCTTTGTTTACGACAAGGACATCATCTAAGGGTTTGCTACAAATTTCTTCGACTTTCAGTACCTGAAAGAATTAGGATAGTTAGAAAAGGATTTTGCTGTCTTAATTGTTTGTCCCACGGACATGAAGTTTCCAATTGCAATAGCGTCCATAACTGCAACATATGCAACAAACGGCATCACACCCTGTTACACAGGCTGGTATCACCTACGGTTACGTCTTCGACGTCTTCTGATAGAATTTTAGATCAGGCTAATAGATCTCCTATATCAGGGCTTACTGGGACTTCGAATAGACAGGTATTTCATACCTCCCAGGATAAGGATATTTTGTTAGGCACGGCTATGGTCCACATCGTGCACAAGGGTACTACGTATCCAGTCAGAGCCTTAATAGATCCTGCTTCCCAAGCGTCCTTTATTTCTAAAGAACTGAAAAATAAAATAGGACTACCCACAAATTCGACAGCATCCGCTATTTCAGGGGTCGGTGGGTCTGTTTCAACAACCTCACGCAATGAATGTCAAGTCCGTGTTAGTTCTCCAATGGATGCTACGCAGTCCATAGAAACTACAGTCCTAGTCCTCCCTACTATTGCAGATAATCTGCCTTCCTTTTCTGTTCAAACCGACATTCGTCCCAAATTGCCAAATCTACGTTTGGCCGACCCCGACCCATTTTCTTCTCGTCCAGTGGACCTCTTACTTGGTGCTGATCTTTATCCCAAGATTCTGCTACAGGGTACATGTAACAACATATTAGGTTCATTGATAGCTCAGAGCACCGTATTCGGCTGGGTCATTACTGGTCCAATGCCACCTTCTCTTTAGGGATTCTCCTTGAAAGAGTTTAGAATAGAATATGGGTTGTAAGGTTTACTACGCCAGTTTCTCACGGAAAACATGTAGTTTATCTCTCCTGATTCCTTTTTTCTCACGCAAATCATGGTTCTACGGCCTTCTACTCTTTTACATTGTCACATTGGTTCTACAACATCCTAAATTCATTTGCTTCGCAAATTTATTTTCATTTACCTACGTAAAAATTCATAATACGGTCGCCAGTACTTTATTATTCTGAGGCGAATTCCATAATGTTATATAGGCATATCATACACCGATGTTACGCATCATTTATTTTAAATTCTTATTGCTGGATCGCCTTCTTCGATGTCAAAATTTATATCCGAATGTGAGTCATAATATGTCATTGAAAACTGCACTTCAAACCGACGGCTACTTCATGTCCTACCACCCCTTCGTCAATGTTAGTTATAGTCAATGTTTCGAGTCGTCTACGCGACCTCACTACTTTTTCGCTTTAAGAAAAATATAGAAAGATGGCAAAGTTAGAGTCGCGAAACATCTGGCAAAAAATTGTAAAATGATCTACGATATTGGGGTCATTCTGGCCCAAATATTTGTTCCATTTTTACCATTTCGCTTCCTCGCTACTTTTCGTATGACATGGAAAAATTGTAAGATGGTTGCGACGATGGTGTGAGGATGACGTCCCCTGGAAAATTTTGGAACAACATGTGGATAACGGTGCAATTACACCTTCAACATATTTGAAGCTGCAGCAGTACACACTCTGAAAATATTATTAAAAATCCGTCGTCGACGGTCCCTGGAGTTCCTCCAGGAGATACTTGTGGTGTCGCCACATTGAGCTCTTCAAATTCAAACATTATTTATTTGTAAATAGTTTAATTTAAAATTTGGTAATCATAAGATCAGATCTTGTCGAGACATTGCACGATCTTGCTCTTCGAGCAGGGGTTACCTTTTTCTACTAACATTAAATTTTGCAACATAGTTGGATGTTGCAAGGCCGGCGGAATGTTTAATTTCAATTGAGTTTTTGTCATTTGATGATTGGCTTCTCATTACATTGTGTCTACTACCTTTTGAAACTACTATGTATTTCGTACATAATGTCAATGGTAATGACATATTGTAATGAATGACGTTTGAGAATTGCCGCCTTTCAGCATCCAAACATTACTAAAAGTTACTAGTTCGTTTTACGACGCTAGCTAAGGATTACATCCTACACACACCCTTTGTACAAAGGTAAATGTTCTTCGAACAAATAAATACAGTCCACTAATTTGTTTTGGAAAAAATATTAATAATATTGTGTTTTTATTTTTCTCCAACTCTCCTCTAATTTCATTGCATCAACGCAAACACATGGCTTTAAACACCTCTGAGCGGATTAGGCTGTCGAATGCGGCTTTATAGTCGTGGAATAGGTGTAATGTGTCGATGTGTTTTTCGTGGGTCTTTTCCAGGGTTTGGCGCAGTGTGAACCTCTGGTCTATGTTAGATTTGCAAGGTCTGAAACTGCATTGGTATGGTCCAGTATAGCACTTTATATGCGGTGGGAAGGAGACTAATTCCTCCATAGTTGGCACATATCGTCTTGTCTCCTTTTTATGCACGTGATACAGGATGCTGAGGTTCCAATCATTAGCCAAATTGTACTAATCAGTTGGTGCATGCTCCTGTCCAGCATCTGACATCGGCACCTGCTGCTTTGTTATTCTTCAGCTATTCTGACCGTATCTTCTGGGGTATCATATTCACCGTTACTATTTGATACCAGAAGATTTTCAAAATGCTCCTTCCATATCCTCAACACGTTGTCTGTATCTGTCACTAGGTTTCCTTCCTTACCTCTACAGGAGGATGTGCATGCACCAAAGCCTTCGGTTTGGTGTTTACCCATTGGTAAAATTTCCGACTTCGTTCTGATTTCGATTTGCTCAGGCTCACGTTTTTTTCGTCTTCGTTTTCCTGAAAATAAGTTTTTCCACTATCGTTGAGTTTTCGTATTGTGTTAGATCGCGCCCTTGCTGCAACATTAAGACGAGTGCGAACCTTATCTGCTCCTCGGATCGATCGAACGTCTAAAACACTGTACGAATGCCTTCCGTCTATCACAACATGCTCATTTTTATTTCTCGTTGTTTGATCAGGGGCAATCCGGGCTGAATTTTCCGAAGGTAGGGACAATAATATTTCCCCTTCCGATTTTTCCATTACAATCTCCTAGCAGCAATTTAATGTCTTGGCCAGGGCAGCGGTCATTTGCTGTGTGTAGGCGCTCGTCTGTTCTGGTCTGTTCATCTTTGTCTTCCGTCGGAGCATGGGCGCAAATAAGACTGATGGTGAAGAGCTTCGCTTTTATACGGATTATAGCAATTCACTCATCTACTGGAATGAATCTGGAGGCAAGGCTTTTATTCTCCTGTTAACCAAAAATCCGCAGCCAAATTCAAGTTTCGTTTCATGGCAGCTATAATACAGTGCGTAATCGTCTGATTTACTTACGGCTGTCACTTTCCATTGTATTTCCTGTAAGGCAATAATATCGGCTTTGTACTTCTTGAGTACATCCGCCAAAGCGAAAACTGTGCCTGTTCTCTACAAAGAGTGCACCCGAGGCCTCAACCCATTTTTATATAGTTCTTATGGGTGAACTCGCGGCACACATAAGCTCACTATTTAAACGGATGATAAAGTGCGGATGTCACATGGTGTAGACACCGCGGGGAGGTCAGTGTCCACAATTGAGATAAAAGAGGGATCAAGATAAACCTGGACTTTGCCATTTTAAAGCCAATCAGAGCCGTTACTTGGTATCACCCGCCCATTTAAAATACATTCCCAAATTTCACATATTTATAGCTATGTCTATCCATCGTCATATTGAACGCTGTCTCAAATATATAAATAGATTAAAAGTTATTTAATTTCCCGTATATAGTGGTGTTGGATATTATACTGGTGTATATGATTGTGCGTCAATCTTAATTTTTTTTACTAAATAAAATATTAAAAAATTTATTTGAAACCATAGTTACACAATTTAATTATAATTTATAATATAGTATAATCGTTGGATTTTGGTAAAACACGTACACCATATTACCCCCACACACACACACATTGCGCATTCTTAACATCCAGTTGTTGTCACATCCACAACTTCTTCACACCTCCTCAATAAAGCTCTTGACGGTTTTTTGTTATTCCACCACCATCTACACTTCGATGCATTTCAAAGTCTTGGACTATCCAATACGGTATTAGCCGTAACCACTGTACAACTGTTACCCATTGCAATTGAATTGCCAGCCATTGATAGATTCGTTGCTGCTGCCGATGCTGTTTTGGAGTTTTTATGCCAAAATGTTCCACCATTCAAATGTATGCCACGAAAAGTGTCGACAAATGCCCGTCGAAAACTGGCGTTCATGAAGCAGTACGTAATTGGATTACAACAACTCGATGAATAGGCCAGCAATTGTAGGAAACTTATCGTTGTATAGTCGACGTACTCGTATGTTGCGGGACCGATGAACATGGCCAGTGTGTTGATAACATAAAGCGGTGTCCAACAAATGAAAAATTCCAGTACCAACACGAAGAGCATTTTCACAACACGTTTTTTGCTTTCCAAGGTTTTTTCTATGTTCGATCTGAAAATGGACAGACAGAGAGAGATGGAGGAGAGACATTAGTTTCATCTGATTTTAGTTTGAGAGATATTAGAATTGTAGTTCCTAGGAAGTGGATTAGATCTATTATAATGTTTGCACTTAAAGAAAAAGGTATGCAAGAACCATGGACTAAAGTTCCAAGATCGCATGTTGATGTCCTTGGCTATAAAATACCATGACGCCCAAATGAAGCCCTTACCCTCAAATAACCCAATCGAGTTCTTTTCCTTTTCCATTAAGTTTCTTTCTATTTCCCCTTTGAAAATTTTATTTTCCCTTTAACATATTAAAATTTCCGCACGCACACACTGAAAACTTACCTTCTCAATGCCGATTCAGTTATGCGTAAACTTGGCGAGCTATTCAGTTTACGCTTCTCTGTGCCACAACCACCACCACCGACACCGCCTCCATCATTTGTTGACATGTATGGTGGTTGATGTTGCTGCTGCTGATGATATTGTCGCTGCTGCAGGCCAGATGTTGCCATCGCCACCGACTGATGTGTCGGTTTAAGTTGTCTTGGAAACTTTGTGGACAACGCATTAAGTGAGTGGCATGAGGACGATGTTGTCTCCTCACTATCAGCACTAGTTCTACTGTTACGATTGAATGACTTGAAAGAGGCAGAACGCATGCAATAAAGTTGTTGGCGGCGACCATCTGTGGTCTTGGCCACAATTGCACGTTTACTATTTAATGGATTAATAGAGGTTGTGGTTTGTTCGCCATTCGTGCTCAGTTGGGTTATGTCATCTGAAAAGAATACGGGGGAGAGCGGAGAAATACAGATAATTACAAAAGGTGTACATGTATACACAATATATGGGAGGAATATTAAAATACCTATACATACAATTTTACAGACAGAGAATATTAAAATTTCTTGTTAAAAACGCGTATATAAAATTGCAATATATTTTTCCATTTAATTCTTTGAAAATATCAGGGTAGAAAATAGGAAGGGAGACTAGGATATATTGTTTTCGGAATATTTATAAGGACTATATTTGAGAGAGTATTTTAAATAAAATGGTGCTTTAATGACCAAGACCTATTTATAAGCGTGGATGCATTAAACATATTTTTTTAAGACCTACTAAAATTCATGGATGACGTATGGTGTGATAGATACCAAGCAACGGCCCTTATTGGCTTTAACATGGCAAAGCCCAGACTTGTCGTGGTCCCTCTTTCATCTCAATTGTAGGCACTGACCAGCCAGCGGTGTAACCTGGGCTAACTACTTTCATCATCAGTTAAAATAGTGAACTGATATGTGCCGCGAGTTCACCCATAAGAACTACAAAAAAACCAGTAAGGAAAGTAGTAAAGTCGGACTGGGCCGATATATATCTTCGTCCGACTATATGATACCCTTCACCACTTTCGATATATCGCGAGTTCACCCATAAGAACTAAAAAAAAAACAGTGAGGAAAGTAGTATAGTCGGACTGGGCCGACTATATGATACCCTTCACCACTTTCGATATATTCTACATATGTATCCTAACAGACGACGAGTTTTTGTTTTATATCTATATCTAACCCGATTTCGGGGAAACTTACGTTGTGTCAATCGGCCTAGCTATGAATCTTTTCACGAAGCTTAGCAACATCATTCTAGACTTAATTCAGTACCCTATACCAAAATTCGTGCAAATCAAAAGATTTCTAAGGACTTTGGTGTAATATTTACCTAAAATTGGGCGAAACAATATATTTCAGCTATATCTAAATCTGAACCGATTTTCACGAAACTTGACAGACATCATTCTAGACCTTATTCATTACGCTGAGCCAAATTTCGTGCAAGTCAAAAGATTTCCAGAGACTTTAGTGGATTATTTACATAAAAACGGGCGAAGCTATATATAGGAGCTATATCTAAATCTGAACCGATTTTCAGAAACTTTGCACACATCATTCTAGACTTAATTTAGTACGCTGTGCCAAATTTCGTGCAAATCGAATGATATATAGGGACTTTGGTACACAATCTACCTTAAATCGGACGAAGATATAAATGGGAACTATATCTAAATCTTAACCGATTTTCGCGAAACTTTGTACATATCATTCTTGACCTTATTCATTACGCTCTGCCAAATTTCGTGCAGATCGAAAGATATATAGGGACTTTGGTGCACCATTTACCTTAAATCAGACAAAAATATATATGGGAATCTGAACCGATTTTTCCCAATTTCGATAGGGTTCGTCCTTGTGCCAAACAAATGAACTATGACAAATTTCATCGAATTCGGATCATAAATGCGACCTGCACCTTTTTTACAATTTAACATGGAGAGACAGACGGACATGCATAAATCGACTCAGAAAGTGATTCTATGCATATTCTCAAAACGAACCATGGGTCTATTTCGATTATTTTTGCCTGTTACAAACATTTGCACAAAGACATAATACACTGTACCACAGTGGAGTGAAGGGTATAAAAATGGGTTGAGGCGTCGGGTGAGTTGCCCACCCTTGGAAAACCCCTCTTAGAATGAAAAGGCTAAGAACGACCCTCCCAAACGTATAAAAGACCACTTGGAATGTGCGCAATGTTGTACATAACAGGCGTAGTTTTCGCTCAAGAAGTACAGAGCCGATATTATTGCCTTACATTAAATGGGATGGAAAGGGATAGGCGTAAGTAAATCAGATGATTACGCACGATACATGAATTTGTCTGCGGATTTATGGTTGACAGGAGTATAAAGACCTCGTCCCCAAATTCACTCTAGTAGATGAGCGAATTGCTATAATCCGTATAAAAGCGAAGTTTTTCTACATCAGTCTTATTTGCGTCCATGCTCAGATGGAAGACAAAGATGAACAGACCAAGACATTTATTTACGAGCGCCTAGAAACAGCATATGACCGCTGCCCTGGCCGTGAGATTAAAATTCTACTACGAGATTTTAATGCAAAAGTCGGAAGGGAAAATATGTTTGTCCCTGCCGTCGGAAAATTCAGGCTCCATGAAGAAAAATCCGACAACGGCATGAGGATGATTGAATTTGCGGCAGCAAAAAACATGGTAGTTAGCAGCAAGGCCAACTGGACTTCTCCAGATCAAAAAACGAGAAATCAAATTGATCATGTTGTAATAGACCGAAGACATTCATCTAGTGGTTTAGACGTTCGATCGATCCAAGGAGCGAATATCGATTCGGACCAATACCGTGTTGCAGCCAAGGTTCGCACTTGTCTGAATGTAGCAGCAAAGGCGCGATCTAACACAACATGGAAACTCGATGTCGAAAAGCTGCAAACACAACAGATAGCAGAAACCTACTCCGCTCAACTTAACCAATTGCTCGACGAAAACACTCCATGTCCCGATAATAGCATAATGGCAAAAAATTGCCCATTCCTTACAAACTACAGCAAAAGCTACACTTGGGTACCAAAGACCACCATCAAGAAACCCATGGTACGATCGGGAGTGTCGTATCCCATCGCACGTAATGGAAGGGATATCTAGCATCAAATAGTGTGGTGAAAAAGATACCCCAGAACAAATGAGATATGACGGTATATATTGCATACAACCTAGCCAAGATTAAGTCAGAGTAGCAATTAATCGACTATTCAAGACCGGTGGTCAGGAGCATGTACAAGCTGCTTAGTACAATTTGGCTAGAGGAATCCATGTCCAATTATTGTGTCCCGTACACAAAAAAGGTGACAAGGTGGATATGTGCAAAACATTATTGGACCAAACCAACGCGGCTTCAGACCTGGCAAATCCCAAATTGGCCAGATTTTCACTCTGCGCGAAATTCTGGAAAAGACCCACGAAAAACACATCGACACCTTACACCTATTCGTTGACTATAAAGCCGCATTCCACAGCCTTATCCGTTCAGAGGTGTTGTAAGCCATTTCTGCGTTCGGCATTCCTGCCAAATGAATACGGCTTGGGAGGATAACTATAACTGGCACAAGTTCAACAGTCACAGTCGGAAATGACCTCTCGGAGGTCAGAATTCAGACAAGGTAACAGTTTGTCATGTGATATTTTTAACATCCTGTTGGAAAAGGTCATAGAGAGGCAAAAGTGAACAGAAAATGGCAGAAAATGGGGAGAAGACCAAGATGATATCAACGCGCAAGAAGTCCAGTAGACTTGGACCAACTGTGGATCTTCAGAAATACAGCTTCGAGGTAGTCAAAGGAGTGTTTGACATAAAAATTTTACAGAAGATCTATGGGGCGATCTTCGTCGACGGTGAATATCGCTGTCGAATGAACCATTAGTTGTACCATCTATTCTACAGTACCATCTGCTCTATTAGTTGTACCATCTATTCTA